CATTAGAGAAATGCAAATTAAAACCACAATAACATAACATTTCACACCAGTTAGAATGGCAATTATTAAAAAGTCAGAAGACAACAGATGCTGGAGAGGATGTAGAGAAATAGGAATGCTTTTACACTGGTAGTGGGAGTGTAATTAGCTCAACCATTGTGGAAGACAGCATGGTGATTCCTCAAGGATCTAGAACTAGAACTATCATTTGACTCAGCAATCCCATTACTAGGTATATGTCCAAATGATTATAAATCATTCTTCCATAAGGACACATGCACCTATATGTTTATTGCAGCACTGTTCGCACTAGCAAAGACTTGGAACCAACCCAAATGCCCATCAATGATAGACTGGATAGAGAAAACATGGCACACATACCCCATAGAATACTATGCAGCCATAAAAAAAGATGAATTCATGTGCTTTGCAGGGACATGGATGAAGCTGGAAAATCATTCTCAGCAAACTAACACAAGAACAGAAAACCAAACAATGCATGTTCTCACTCCTAAGTGGGAGTTGAACAATGAGAACACATGGATACAGGGAGGGGAACATCACACATTCATGCCTGTCAGGGTGGGGAGCTAGGGGAAGGATAGCATTAGGAGAAATACCTAATATAGATAACAGGTTGACAGGTGCAGCAAACCACCATGGCACATGTATATCTATGTAACAAATCTGCACATTCTGCATATGTGTCCCAGAACTTAAAGTATAATCAAAAATAAATAAAATAAAATAAAAAATAATAATTTGTTGTTAGATAAATGCCATCTCCCATGAAGTTTCCTAAGTAAGAAAAATCAAACACCCTCCAAGATAAGAGACACGAAACCAGAAAATAAGTCACAATGGGCCTTATTAGTTATTTAAATGATCATTTATAAAGCTTTTCTTCTATGAACAAGAACAAGACAAATACATCCATTCTCAACACTTCTATTCAGTGTTACAAGAAAGTTCTAGCTAGGACAATCAGAGAAGAAAAAGAAATAAAAGGCATCCAAATAAGACAGGATGAAGGGAAATAGTCTTTGTTTGCTAATAACATTAATTGTATGTGTAGAAAACCCTAATAACATCACAAAAAAAAAATTGTTAAAACTGATAATTCAGTAAAGTTGAAGGACACACACCTCACAAAAATCAGTAGTATTTCTTTATGCTGACAACAAACCATTTGAAAAAGAAATTAAGAAATCAATCCCATTAACAATAGTATTAAAAAAAATACTTGGAAGTAAATTTAACCAAGGATTTGAAAGATCTGTACACTGAAAACTAGAAAACAATGATGAAAGAAATTGCAGATAACACAGATAAATAGAAAAGTATCCCATGCTCATGGACTGGAAAAATTAATACTGTTAAAATGTCTATACTACCAAAGGAATATACAGATTAAATGAATCCCTATCAATATTCTAATGTCATTTTTCATGGAAATAAATGTTAAAAATCCTAAAATTCTTAAGAAAGCACAACAGACCTTGACGAGTCAAAGGCATCTTGAGTGAAAAGAATAAAACTGGAGGCATCATGTTAGCTGACTTCAAAATCTATTATAAAGCAAAGCTGTAGTAAACAAAATGGTATATTACTGGCATAAAAACAGACACATTGACCAATGGAATAGGGCAGAAAGCCCAGGAATAAACCCATACATATGGTCAATTTGTTTTCAACAAAGGTACAAAAATACAGAATGGAGAAAGTACAATCTCTTTAATAAATTGTGTTGGGGAAACTAGATGTCCACATGCAGAAAAATAAAATTGGACCCTTATCTCATGTGATGCTCATGCACAAAAATCAACTCAAAATGAATTAAGATTGAAAAGTAAGCCCTAAAAGTATAAAAGTAGTAGGAAGGAAACATTTAGAAATGCCCCGTGACATTGGTCTGGGCAAGATTTCTGTGATATGACCCCAAAAGCACAGGAACAAAAGCGAAAATAAACAAATGGGATTGCATCAAACTAAAAACTTTCTGCACAGTAAAAGAAACATTAAAGAAACAACACATGAATTGGGCTAAACTATTTGCAAACTGTATATCTGATAAGGAGCTAATATTCAAACTACATAAGAAATTCAACTTCGTAGCAAGAAAACAACTCAATAAAAAATGGGCAAAGGACCTAAATAAACACTCTCAAAAAAGGACACACAAATGGCCAATAGATATATTAAAAATTGCTCATCATCACTGATTATCAGGAAAATGCAAATTAAAACTATATAACAAGATACTATCCCACACAAGTCAGAATGGCTATTATCAAAATGATGGGAGATAAGTTCTGGTGAGGGTGTGAAGTAAAGGGAACCCTTATGCTCTGTTGGAATGACTATAAATTAATACAACCTTTATGGAAAACAATATGGAGCCTCCTCAGAAAACTAAACATAGAACTACCATAAAACCTAGCCATCCCATTCTAGGTACACAGCCAAAGGAATTGAAATCAGTCTGCTAAAGAGATATCTTCACTCATGTTCCCTGCAACATTATTCACAACCACTAAAATGTGGAAGCAATTTTGGCGTCCATCATCAGAGGAATGGAAAAAGGAAATGCGGTATATACCCGAAATGAAAAACTATTCAACTTCGAAAAGGGAGAAAGTGCTGTTATTAGTGACAACATGGATAAACCTGGATGATATTATGCTAAGTGAATTATGCCAGGCACAAGACAAATACAGTGTCATCTCATTTATAGATTGTGAAAGAAAACAGATTCTTGAGACCCAGACTCACTATAACGGAGGGAAAGTTAAGATTGGGAACTGAATCACACAAAAAACTGCCTTTGTTTCTTTTCCCCATCAAACAGTTAGCTGCAATGATAGAAGGCCACATCTCTCCCCTATGCCCTACTTCACAAATTGCTCACAATTCCTTGTGGGCCCCAGCTTTTTCAATATATACATCCGGCCCTACAAAATAGCCTGAGTACAGAGTTTTGCTGAATCTCACCCCAACAATATAAATTAACAGCTTATATCTTCACAGACAGGGGATAAGGACAAGACTAGAAAATCATCCCTCTGCCCACCCTGAGACAAACGCATAACTGACTTCTATTTTATCTTAAGTACAATGTATATTTACTGACTATAAGAGGAAAGCATAATTGACTATTCCCCTTTCCCTTTTCACATATAAAATGTAGATTCACTGAGCATTAATAAAAGCCTCACTGTGTGACCACTTCCCTCACTACCTGCCCTCCCCTCTCTTTTTTTCTCTCTTCTTCCCTTTCTCCTCATTCTTTCCCTTTTACATATTGGAGTCCTCAAAACCCTCTTTGGAAAAGGCAGAGATCACAGATGCTCCCCTGATTTGTGTTTTTTTTCCCAGGTGCGGCCTCAACCTTGGCAAAATAAACATCTAAATTAATTGAGACCTGCCTCGGACATTTTTTTGACTTACATTTGTGGAATCTACAAGAGTCAAACTCAGAAGTAGAGGGAAGGATGAGTTACCAGAGGGTGGGGAAGGGAAAGTTTAGGGAAATGGGAGATGCTCATCAAAGGGTACAAGTTTCCGTTAGCCAAAATGAGTAAGCTTTAGTAAGCTACTGAGCAGAATAGTCACTATAGAATAGTGCACTGTAGATTCCAAAATTGCTAAAAGAGAAAATTATGTTTTTACCACATATACAAAATAAGTATGTGAGGCGACAGATTTGTTAATTAGCCAGATTTAATCATTCCATAATGCAAGCATATATCAAAACATCACATTGTACCCCATAAGCATATACAATGATTGCTTATTTTAAAAAATATATGCATATATATGCATGTGTATATATATGTATGTATATACATATATGTATGTACATATGTATGTGTGTGTATATATATAGAGAGAGAGAGAGACAGAGACAGAGATGGAATCTTACTCTGTCACCCAGGCTGGAGTGCAGTGGTGCAATTTTGACTCACTGCATCCTCCACTCCCCGGGTTCAAGAAATTCTCCTGCCTCAGCCTCCCAGTAATCAGGTTTACAGGCACCCACTACCACACCTGGGTAATTTTTGTATTTTTAGTAGACAAGGTGTTTCACCATCTTGTCCAGGCTGATCTTGAACTCCTGACCTCGTGATCCACCCACCTCAGCCTCCCAAAGTGCTGGGATTACAGGCATGAGCCACCATGACCAGCCACTAAAAATATTTTTTTAATGCTCCTTTATTAAAAGGTAGAAATTATAGTGTATAAAATTTATTTTCCTAAAAGAAACTACCAGCAGTTTCTAAGTCTATCCCACGTTTAAATGGTCTTAATAAAACAAGCAATTGCATTCCTAAGAAAGGAATTTAGGCTAATATTTACATAGAGTTTCTCTGTCTTAGTGAAGAGGAACAGAAAGAAAGAGAAGATCCTAGACATTTATTTATATATATCAGGCCTTTATTCTGTGCTTCAAGGAAGCAGCTTCCCCTTAAGTTGGTGTTGTCTCTCCTCCAGAGCTGTTCTTTCAATGAATACTATTTCCTGCTTCTCTCTCCTCAATTTCATAAGGCACAAAGTTCTTGTTAAATCTGCCCCACTTCATGTAAAGCTGAAATACAAATTAAAATTGCATATCTTTCCAAAGAAGGTTTTGGGAATAGAGAACAAGTTATTTTGGGCAATTGCCCTCCCAGAATCTTCTGGCATCTCACATAGGTTAATTATGGTAAAATGTGACAATGATCAATACTTGTTCCAACTGAAAAGAGGCAGTGTCAATGAGGGAGCTGGCAGGGAAGAGGAAGTTACTTCTGAATGGAGCATTGCTTTGCATAGTTCTAAGCAAATAGGTCCTCTGGTTCAGAGACTGAAACACACATATTGTACTCCAATTTCAGAGTTGTTTTCTCATTTAGGTTTTGATAATGAGATTTCAAACCCCACAGAGGTGTTGGTGAGACAGACATCTGGCAAAGCTGATCATTTTTAATATAATTTGTGCAGTGAGCAGACTCAGATCCTACCTTTTGTCCCTGTACATCTGCGGTGATGTGGTCGGCTTCCCCATCCTCAATCTCCCCCATCTTCACGACACTGACTTCTATGGTGCCGACCACTTTGCCACCATCTGAAGTTCTGCAACAAAAATACATGAAATGGAATGGTAAGAAGCTTCTGTCTCCCCCAGAAATATCCGAGACATATTTGTTTCTGAAAATCACTAGCACTGCTATTTACTTAGTAAGACAAAATCTGCATAAAACATAGCAAAACATGGTAATAGGGTAGGTTTTGCTTTTAATTTGAAATGAAAATTATCTACGGATGCATGAGGTAAGAGCACCGACTGTTGAAAAGTACTTCAGGAAGATGAAACCTCCTCGATGTTCTCAGAGGTACCCTCAAGGAAAGAACATTGTGTCAGAGATCAATATCCTATTTGAAACCATCAAACCTAAAACAGCCCATCATTACCAACTGTATGAGATACTGCATGTGTCTGTCACAGAAACTATGGAGTAAAACAGAGTAAAATAGAAGAGAGTATAAACATTCTTATCTTCCTCTATGACTGGGCTATTGGCTACAAAATCTGACTTTGTGCCTTTTCTCTAACATTTTTCTTTACAGCCTATTAAGTAAAAATGATTCTCCCCTAGCAAACATAAGAACATGGAAAGCAGAACATAACCCAAAGCTCATTTAGTAAGACTCCTTACTTTTTCAGATAAAGAAACTGAGACTCACAAAGATGGAAAGACCCTTTCAACATAACAGAATGACAAATTCAGGTTTCTATCTTCTCTGAGTCATCAATAGCTCTTCTACATTTAATGATAATAATATAAGATTTTCACCATCATTATTTTTAGCAGTCTAAAAATTTTATGTTTGGCAATAAAGACAAAAGCCAAAGATAAGTTTAAGAACCACACTGTAAGATTCTCTAGTTTCCTTTTCTGAGCAAGAAAAACTACAGAATAAATAGTGTCATTATACCATGGAAACATTGTGACATATAATTATATTTTCCCTGGAGCCTTTTGTGAAAATAGGTAGCAAGCCACCTCATAGACAGGATGTGTTGCTGTAACTTCTATTTAAGCACAATTGACTGAACAAGTACTCATGTGACATCTCATTTTCTTTATTAGTGACATCTTTTATGAAATTTATTTAACTTTTAGCTGAATACCAATGATGTCTTTCTTTTAACTAATTCCTTCTAAATGCTGCTATTTTTTAATTAAAAGTGTCAGAAAGGAGTAGGGGGGTTTCTATGAGTAGTTTACCAAAATACTAATTAAAATATCATTATTTATCATTATAAGTGAAAAAAAAACTGATTATATTACTAGATAAGGTACAAATTAAAACACAACTTTGAATTATATTTTTAAGAAAGTTAAAGGAGAACATTTCTGATGGCATGTACACAGAAATATTGTAGTACAATGAAGATAATTAAAATAGAAAAAGGGGAGAGAGATCCAAGATAGCTGATCACTAGCAGCTCGGGATTGTAGCTCCCAGTGAAAATGCAAAGAACAAGAGGACGCCACACCTTCACATGAATTCTTGTTGCTCACGCACCAGGAGATTCCCAGCGGAGGAGCCCCACGGGTCGCCAGCACGACTCTTGTGACGGGCGAGGCGGTTTTGCCGGCACCTCGGAGCGTCGGTTCTTGGTGCAGAGTCAGAAAAGCACCATCAATCTTAACGCCGCTGATTTAGTCGGCGCAGTGGGTTGCTCAGATTTTGGCGCTGAGAATCAATAAGTTGGACGTCCACTCAGAAACCCAATTACAAAGACGGTAATTATAAAGACCACAGATGGATAAATCTACAACGAAGGGAAGAAAACAGTCAAAACAGGCTGAGAATACCCAAGATCAGAATGCCTCTCCCTCAGCAGGGGATCACAGTTCCTCATCAGCAGCAAAACAAGGCTTGATGGAGAATGAGTGTGTTCCAATTACAGAAGCAGGCTTCAAAATGTGGATAATAAGAAACTTCTGTGAATTAAAAGAACTTGTTCTAACACAATCTAAAGAAACTAAGAACTTTGAAAAAAGGTTTGACGAAATGTCAACAAGAATACAAAATTTAGAGAGGAAAATAAGTGAATTGATGGAGCTGAAAAACACAATACGAGAACTATGTGAAGTATGCACAAGTTTTAACAGCCAAATTTATCAAGAAGAAGAAAGGATATCAGAGGTCAAAGACCAACTCAATGAAATAAAACTAGAAGACAAGATTAGAGAAAAAAGGATAAAAAGGAACAAGCAAAGTCTCCAAGAAATATGGGACTATGTGAAAAGACCTAATCTATGCTTGATAGGTGTACCTGAATGTGACGAAGAGAATGAATCCAAGCTGGAAAATACGCTTCAGGATATTATTCAGGAAAATTTTCCCAACTTAGTAAGGCAGGATAATATTCAACTCCAGGTAATACAGAGAACACCACAAAGATATTCCTCAAGAAGAGCAACTCCAAGGCACATAATCATCAGATTCACCAGGGTTAAAATGAAGGAGAAAATACTAAGGGCAGCCAAAGAGAAAGGTCAGGTTACCCACAAAGGGAAGCCTATCAGACTAACAGCAGATCTCTCAGCAGAAACCCCACAAGCCAGAAGAGAGTGGGGACCAATATTCAACATCCTTAAAGAAAAGAACTTTCAACCAAGAATTTCACATCCAGCCAAACTAAGCTTCATAAATGAAGGAAAAATAAAGTTTTTTTGTGAACAAGCAACCACTCAGAGAATTCATCACCACCAGGCCTGCTTTACAAGAGCTTCTGAAAGAACCACTACACATAGAAAGGAAAAAAACAGTATCAGCCTTTCTAAAAAATATCAAAAAGTAAAGAACATCAATATAATGAAGAATTTACATCAACTAATGGGCAAAATAGCCAGCTAATATTAAATGGCAGTATTAAACTCACATATATCATTATTAATTCTAAATTTAAATTGACTAAATTCCCCAATTCAAACACAGACAGGCAATCTGGACAAAAAACTAAAACCCATTGGTATGCTGCATCCAGATCCATCTCACATTCAAGGATACACAAAGACTCAAAACAAGGGATGGAGAGAGACTTACCAACCAAACATAGAGCAAAAATAAATAAATAAAAAGCAGAAGTTACAATTTTTGCCTCTGATAAAATAGTCTTTAAAGCAACAAAGATCAAAAGAAGCAAAGAAGGACATTATATAATGATAAAAGAATCAAAGCAACAACAAGAAGAGTTAAAGATCCTAAATATACACGCACCCAATACAGGAATACCCAGACATACAAGACTAATAAAGAGACTTAGACTCCCACACAATAATAGTGGGAGACTTCAACATTAATATTAGACAGATCAATGAGATAGAAAATTAACAACGATATCCAGGGCCTGAACTCAGATCTGGAACAAGTAAATGTAATTAACATTTATAGAACTCTCCACTTTACACAAAATATACACTCTTATCAGTACCACATCATATCAACTTAGAAGTTTAAACGAAATGTTGGTTGGCTCCTTGTTTGTTATTCTCTTCCCTCATTTTCTTTCATGTCTCCATTATTAAGGACAATTATAGGTATACCCATATTTAGACTGCATTCTAGCCCGGGCAACAAAGCAATATCCCCATTCTCTCTCCCTCTTCCTCTCTCTTTCTTCCTCTTCTTTATTCTTTTTCTTATTATTCTTTTTTTCTTTCTAAAAAACAAAACAAAACAAAACAAACAAACAAAAAACAACAAAAAACACTACCTACTAGTAGAAAATATTGGGGGAAATTATATATGTGTGTATGTATATGGAGTTATATATGTATACACACACACATATATACTCACATATATATATATTTTTATCCTGTAATCAGAAGCCCTTTTGAAATATGACCTCAAACCCATAACTATGAAAGAAAAGATGTATGAATCTGACAACTTTAAAAAAAAATATTCTGCATACAAAGAAAAACACAGGTAAAGTTAAAGATAAATGACAAACTAGGACCAAGCATGGTGGCTTACACTTGCAATCCTAGTACCTTGGGAGGCCAAGGTGGGCAGATCACCTTGGGGTCAAGAGTTTGAGATCAGCCTGGCCAACATGATGAAACCCCAACTCTACTAAAAATACAAAAATTAGCTGGATGTGATGGCATGTTCCTGTAATCCCAGTTACTTGGGAGTCTGAGGCAGGAGAATTGCTTGAACTCGGGAGGCAGACGTTGCAGTGAGATCCTGAGATCCTGCCACTGTACTTCAGCCTGGGCATCAGAATAAGACTCCATTTTGAAAAAATAAAATAAAATGGCCAACTGGGAGAAAAATTTCTAATTCATGTAATAGAGCTAATAGACTTAATATATAAAAAGTTTATTTTAAAAAGTATTTAAAGCAAAACAGTAACCCAGTTGAGTAATGGATAAAGAATATGAAGAGTTTACAGGAAAAGAAATATAAATGGCTTTAAATCTATTCAAAGATGTAGTTTTATTTGTAATTGCAAATAGAACCTGTGCAGTTTTATTTGTAATTGCAAATAGAACCTGTTACAAGACTTTAATATAAATTTTCAAAATGCTAAATGCACATTCACCCAAGAATTATATCTCTAATAATTTATCTTACAGTTACAGTTGCAAATGTGCAAATGATGTATATACAGGGTTATTGATTATACCATTGTTTGTAGTAGCAGAAAAAGGAAACTGCTCATATAGTAATTCATAAGAACTAGTTACATTAGCAGTCATTAAAAAGGTGGAGGCAAGCAGGGGAACTGCTTGAACCTGGGAGACAGAGGTCACAGTGAGCCTAGATCAAGCCACTGCACTCCAGCCTGGTGACAGAGTGAGAATGCATGTCAAAAAATGAACCGAGAAAAAAAAAAAAAAAAAAAAGGTGGAGGCAACTTGTTATGGATTATGAAAAGACATCCAAAATATATTTAGTAGAAAAAAAGTGTATAGAGTAAATGGTATACAGCATTTGCGTAAAATACATGCATATAATTGGTATGTATGTAACACAGAATATCTCATATCCTTGTATAAGGATAGACAAACTAGTAAGAGTGGTTGCCTCTTGAGAGGCAAATTGAG